CATTGTATAGTGGCGTTAAGTGCCTTAATGTGCACCTCTACCTACCCCTAAGGGATAAAAAGGCGTCATGTTATGTGTTATGTATATACTTACTTAATACTTTATTGAGCCGCCTTTGATTCGTGACTGTTGCATGCCCTTGACCAATTTTTCGAATCCGTGAGCCATTACCAGAAATAAGAGTGTCATCTATTAAAATACTTATTTCATAATGCATTCGCTTATTTACACCTTTTACTATTTTTATATCCTAATTCCTTGCTAGCTGCCTGCAGCTAGCTTCTGTCTTTTTTCTATTTCAGGGAGTGTTTTTAGTAGATAATTATTAACCACAGAACATTTTTTTTATCTGTGCTACTAATATTGGTTCAGTAGTTTAATATAACACGTAAAAGCAAATATAACGCTATAATAAACCTATTGACAATTTGTTTCATTTCTTACCACCTGCCCTTTCTACCTACCTTCTCTTCTCACAGGCGTCATGACGTAATAACCAACTAAGGGATATATAACATTTTGACATATACTGGGAAGCTGCACTTTCTGATAAATCTTACACATTTAAATTCTGATCTCCAACTGCCTGCTTATTTTTTGGGTTGGAACACCATCCAATGACGTCTCCTACCCGGGTGAGGCGAGAGGGAGTGTCAGACTCTTACTGACTTAAATACACCCCGTTCCTACTAATGAACTTCGAACCGTAGCCTTGGCAACCCGTTAAGTCCTCCGCGGTTCCATATCGGCATCAGCCCTATTGGGGCCCATCTGTGGTGGTCTGATGGCTCCACAGATATAATAAAAATATTTCTGTGGATGGCTCCCTGAATCGCGCGAGGAAAGCGACGTACCGCACACTCAGGTCTGGTTCTGGTCGGGCGGCGAGCTACCCATGCTCGCTGCCCCACCAGACTGCATCCTAGTCTCCCTTGCTCCGTACCATTGTCTGAACGAGAGCAACCCGCTTGCTAAGCAACAAATCCTACATAAGTAGATGTAACTAGCGACTACGGCGTGGTTTTAACCGCTTTGCATGACTTCTGTTGGTCATAGCGTGATGTGTTGTAGCCTATAGCCTTTATTGATAAATGAACTATCCAACACAAAAATAATTATTCAAATCGTACCTCTATAGTAGTCTCGGAGATTAGCGCATTCACACAAACAATATGCCACAGTCTATCTATGAAACGCGCTTTAAACTACGGTTTAAAGTATAAATAATAATATTTCAGTGAGTAGCCCATATACCTAACAATCAGCAGTAGACTGTTACGGATTGTTAAAGAAACATAAAAATTATTCCTCGACATTTTGAGCATTTTAATTAGGTACCTATGCAAAAAACCGTTTAGTCTTACGATTTCACTTAGTTAATTATTGACTCCCAAATTATGAATATTCATACTTAGTTCAAGTCATAATACCTAATACCTAAGAATATGTATAAGTATTGTATAAACAACGACTTTGCACATTCGTCTTAGCGTTAGTTTTTCGGTAATTTAATTTAACAGGTCACATTTTTAGCACTATCTGTTTGTCTAATAAATACAGTTAAATGAACGCACAGGAACTTCATTTTTAAAGTTTGTTACGTGAAAATAGTTTTATACGTCTTAAGTATTTTTTTATTAGCATTATCATTATCATCATCATCAATATAAGTAAGCCATAGAATGTCCACTCCGCTGCTAAATATATAGGCTCATTGACTTTCAGATCGGCTGGTTGAAAGCGGCCTGCATTCCTGCAAGCATCGTTTACCTTTAAACCTTTTCAGATGGCAACCTTTATTGCCAGGCTATTAAGGCATAGATTATAATGTACTAACATACCTAACTTACGATTTTTTTATGGCCCAAACTGGTGTCCCAGCAGACGGATCACCTGATGGTAAGCAATAGGCGCCACCCATGGACACCAGAGGCTGTACAAGTGCGTTACCAACCCATTGGGGATTAGGAATTTGAGGACTGTTGGGGATTCAGAGATTGGGAAAATTGGGAAGGGGAATAATTGGGCCTTCGGTAACCTCATTCACACGACGAAACACAGCGCAAGCGTTGTTTCACGTCGGTTTTCTGTGAGGCCGTGGGATTACACCGGTCGGGCGCCGCGCAAAGTGCCGAAGCATAGCTCTCCCACACTTATGAAATACCAAAATATGCCCAGAGTTCGTTCTTTTTTCAAGTTCAGACATAATAGGTACCTATGTATGCGAAAATTGTACTCGTTTGACCAAGTTGGCCTCTTGAAGAAAGTACTACGGCATTTTTAATGGACCTGTTCTGTCAGAAGGCATGCATTGTGGTGTCAGGTTTATTCATATATACAGTATGCAGTCGGCCACAGATACATAATATTTCTGTGCAGTCGGCAGACCTTTGCGGTAGTTGTAAATGAATCTTATTGTTTGACATGGTTATAATATCATAAGAATTATGTACAGTCAGTACAGTTATTTACCTACTATGCAGATAAGAAATCAGAGATTGACTCAGTACAGAGACAGTAGCTATTATATATATACTAAATTATAATATAGTTTTTAAGTCACATCTTTTGTAACTGCCTCATTGACCGAGTGGTTGAAAGTGCGACTGCCGGGCAAGGGCAGGGGGTCTCGGGTTCGATTCTCGGGTTGGGCAAAGTATTACTGGGTTTGTAAAAACCTCAGTAGTAGCACGGAGTCTGGAACTGTGCCCGGTATATGGCATTAGGCTCACCCCCTATTACATGGGACTCATAACATAAATAGTGAAAAGTGGGTGTTACATTGTACAGTGGCATTAAATGTTATGTTATGTTATCTTTTGTAACCATTGGTCGGTTTATGGTTTCCGCCTCTGTACTATCAATTCTTATATACTTACCTGCATAGTAAATAGGGAATTGATGCTATTTGAGTAGGTATAAAAGAGACACATAATAAAACACAGGCATAGAGTTTTATTTTAGTAAATAGTTTCTTGTTTTGTGCTTTATAGTTGGTAGACTATCTTTCACATTTACAATTGCTCATGAATACTATGACCAAACAGATATGACATGTATCCCTTAAGACATCGATGACTACGACTAACTAGGACATAAACAATTATAGTGTTCACTATACCTTATTTTATTTATCAATTAATTTTAGACCTAATTCCATTATTAGAAAAATTCAAACTATCATTGTCAATACAATTATTTTCCATCTTATCATTATTTTTAATTTCATCAAACTTTTGCACATTTTGATTATCTTCACCCTTTTTCATTTTTCCTTTATTTATGTAGGATTCTCTGTAGAATCTTCCAAATAGGACGATGAACAGACTTGTATTAAATACTACTACAAAGCATGATAGATATGATAGTGTGCATTCTGAGGTCCTTAATACCATTGCGAAGTGAATGAGTATTGATATAAACTGTACCTGCAAGAAAAATGTTAGCAATTAATTGCAAGGCTACGTTTCACAAATTTATGTCAGGACGACGACTGAACAGAGTAACCTATAGAATTCTTATTCTCAAGTATAAATTAGACATATCACTTAAATGAAATTACCTAGGGAACATTTTCAATACATAAATGGAAAAATATTTTTTGAATTCATGTAGCATCTGGTACTAGCTTTACAGGTTAATTCTACGGATTAATAACATAACGAACATATCTTTAGTAAAAATTGAGTAGATACTGAATGTTAAAAACATTAATACTTTTGTTCACTTGTCAAAAAAAGTAACGTGGATATAAATATCTATCTGCCCGTCGCATTACATAAAGAATGTTACCTACATCGTTTTTCAGCCACAAGACATTCACCGTTGAATTTAGACCTCCTTCAATATCCCACTGATTCACTGGCTAAAGCAACATTACCAAAAAATCTATTGAAGTCACTTCAATAATACTTACTAATTGCAACTTCGTAATATATTTCTTCCACCACAAATATTTCTTCAAAGCCGGGAACGCAGACAAACAGTAATACGTATACATGATCACATGAACAAATGAATTAATATTCCTTATGAAAATCATCATGTATGTTGGTTCATACTTCAGCATAGACCAGGTGACGACCACCATCATTGCATGGTGATAGACGTGGAGGAAGGTGACTTGGCTGGTCTTCTTCCTTAGAACGAAGAATACTGTGTCCAAAAGTTCACTTGTTTTTGCTAGAAAGTAGTAGTACATTTCGTTTGTTATCTGAAATTGTACGAAAACTAAGTTAGAATGGGTGTAGGTAAACGAAACGTTCTCGAAACGCTGATACAAAGAAATGGTTTTTACATTTTAATTATTTTTATTTGCGTGTTATCCATGCAACGTCAGCCTTGAGTAGTTGATTACAAATATTATTACATAAAAGAATCATTTAATTCCTAACTTTTATGCAAATAAATCCTGTTTTTTACCCGTCGGCGTTTCTTTTACACGCTGTATAGCTCTATTAGATTCAAGATTCAAGACCCATGTCCCATGCAAGGAGATAACTCTAATTACCGTCACGCCATCTAGTTTTCGTTGAAGACTAGAGACTGATATAATACATTTTTTGCTCACCAGATGGCGGTAAACAAAGATTAAGTCTTTTTATCTAATAGATAATTAATAACGCAAATTATCTTAAAAAATATATAAATAAAATAAAAATAGCTTACACCTCGTCTTGTATGTTCTTTTTCTATGAGACAGGTTTTGCTAACAAAACCATTTTCTAACATCAGTTGCGTGCACTGTAAAAAAAAACATTAAAGGAGTTATTTAGTATAGTTTAATTTTTAACGAGTCTTTCCAATTGTTCTGCCCATCAAATTCAATAAATTTATTTCAGGTATCATTAGATTTCATGCTACCTACATAGCTACATAAATGAGCCTCTAGAGACTATGACATTTAGTAGGAAAATTAATCATAAATGATCAATTTTCATCATTTCTTTATTTATTTTTCATACTAGCTTTTACCCGCGGCTTCGCTCGAGTCACAAAAGGATAAAAAGTAGCCTATGTGGCCTATACCAATACAAACAGCGCCATCTATACCAATGATTTCGTTTTCCCTCGCGAATATCAATTTTTTCCGGGATAGAAAGTACCCTATTATTTAATCCAGGCTTCTAACTTTACGTCTGCAAAAATTCAAAGCAATCGGTTAAGTAGTTACGGCGTAAAAGCGAAACAATCAAACAAACAAACAAACTCACTTGCCAATTTATAATATTAGTAAGGATTTCTTCCAAACATTTTTTAATATTTAATTATAACCTTCTTAACCCCTATTGTAAAAAATCCACAACATTTGTTCATACAAAAGTAGGCTCTAGGTAAACATTGGAAATAAGGTCTAGAGGTATACTGGAGTAAGTCGAGAGCGGTCACCGGTGACCGTTTGAGGACTTAAAAAATATAAAAAGCAGTTACCCTATCACTAACGGGAGAAATCCAAGCTAATAATTATTATCATTATTACAATAAACGAGGGTAAGTTGCTTAACTCTTTGAGTAATGACGGTACCTAAAGACAATTAAAGAACAATAGGTTGCGGTCACTGGTGTCCTCGCGGTAGTCGCGGTGTTTGACAGATTAAGACGAAATAAGGAAGTGTTGTTTACGCCATATAGACATAAAAATACTTACCAAATAACATAAAAAAGCCGATAAAAAAACTTGAAATATGTTGTATAAAATAATAACGTTATTCAAATTAAAAGGCTTTCGTGATTTCATATATTCAGGACCAACTTTCAGGACAAAATACAAGTATGTCGCCGTAATGGTTAATATGGGTAATGGAGATTTCATCAGAAACCATTCATCCACGAAGTCCACTGAAAATAAAAAGCTGTTTATTAATGACTCAGTTTCACACGCTGTACTCGGTTACTTTTGATCGTAGCCTGATATTTTATAGCCAAAAGCTTCCCTTAATAAATGTACTATGCAATGCAAAAACAGTTATTTAAATCGGACCAGCAGGTTTGAAGATTAGCACGTATAAACAAAGAAACTCTTCAGCTTCATAATTATAATAAGTAGATAAGATTTGTTTTTATAATAACTATCGTAAGACATATATTAACTATTACTAATTGTTGTTAGTAACTAATTTTCACGAATGGGCCGGCTCGACCGGAGTGATACCACGGCCTCACAGAAAACCGACGTGAAACAACGCTTGCGTTGTGTTTCGTCGTGTGAGTGAGGTTACCCCCAGTTACCCCCAACCTAGTCTCCCGAATCCCCGAATCCACCACAATCCTTAAATTCTTAATTCTCAAAAGGCGAGTAACGTACTTGTAACGCCTTGGTGTTTCGGATGTCCATGAGCGACGCCGATTGCTTACCATCAGGTGATCCGTCTGCTCGTTTACCAGCTTATGCTATGAAAAAAAACTGAAAATAGCGGGTTATACTGAGAAAAGCTCTACTAGTTTCGAACCACAGAGGGGTTCCTCCTCATGAACAGCGTGCGCGGTCGCGGCGAAACTAGTAGAGCTATTATCGCGTTTTATTATATTCACGTGAGTAACCTGCGATTTTTAGTGAAAGTAAATAGGATTTGTATCCATTTAACGATGATATAATTTTCATAGGATCGACAATTTTACATTAGGGAAAGGTGCGATTTGTGTTCAGATATTAAAAAATCGACTTCAAAAACTATGAACCAAAAAATAATTAATAATCCTTATACTCATAGTACACAAGGCCACGCATCAATCTACACAAAACCAGTTTATCCTGGTGTCGCGTCGCATCATCTTTCCGCATATTTAACGTTCAGTTTATACTGGTTATGTAAAGCTCGATGTGTAGCCGTATGTACCTACCAACAACGCCCACTAAAAGTTAAGATTTAATTATTTAGATAAAATCAAATTATTCTATAAATTCTTTTTGTATTATTAAATGACTGCACTGTTGGCGCGATGGCTTCGATTCCCGCACGGAATATCTCTTTGTGTGATCCACAAATTGTTGTTCCGGGTCTGGGTGTTATGTGTATGTGAACTTGTATGTTTGTAAACGCACCCACGACACAGTAGAAAATCCTAGTCTGGGGCAATGTTTATTAAAAAAAAAAACAATTTTTAGACTATTATTTATCTTGTATTTGTTGACGTTTCAAAAGTACCAAATTAGAGGTATGGTTTAATTGAAATAAATGCTTTGGCTTTGACTTTGAGGTTGGCCCAATTCCTAAAATAAACTATTTCTACTTAGGTAGGTGTATTTAGTATCGATAAGTAATATTTTGTTATGTGTTTGCCAGTCTCCCGGTAGCAGGTCGTACTTACAAAACATTCCGAATTTTCAAAATCTTCTACCAAATTCATTGACATTGTTTTCACATACAATATAATATCTACCTGCTGATTTAACAATACTACATATTATTTTGTCTATATAACGTCATACATTAATGCGTTACCAATTACTTACCACTTTTTTGCAATGCTTAAGTAAATGGTCTGACGTACTAGCCACGTATGCAAAATTGTATTTTATTTCGTTTATCGATAATATTAATAATATGACAAAGTACCTTTAACAATAATAAATAAGTACATTACATTTACCGACAGTGGTTATTGCATATTTATTATGTTAATTATACATACTTATTACACCCAATGACCAGGTTATTTCTATTTTCTACGCAAAATTATTTACCTCTAATTTTACATAATATTTATTGATTAAATTCATGAAGCGATTTCAATTCCTACATAAATAGAACAATGAAAATTATAATAACTATCGTGAGGCGGATATTAAATTAAAAATAACGGTTTATACCTACTAGTAAGTATACCGCGTAGAGCTCCACTAGTTTCGAGTCACAGAGGACGACGACATCGCTTTTTTTTTAAACTGTCAAACACCAAGCGGTCACCGGTGACCGCAACCTATTGTTCTATAATTGTGTCTACAAAACCGGTACTCGACGAGTTAAGGGGGAAAACCATCGTATGGCTTCTACCGCCTGGGTGAGGCGGAAGGGTGTGTCATACTCTTACTGATTAAAAACCACCCTGTTCCGACCCCTGCACTTCGAGCCAGAGCCCCGATAACCCGTTAAGTCCTCCGCGGCTCTGACGTCATCGCGTCTGCCCAAGCTGCACGTAAGGAAGAGTCCTTTTACGAAAACAGGCGAGCTTTTCTCAGCATATTTACGTAGGTAAATATATGTAACAATGTTTAGTTCATAAAAATTATGACGTTTAAAGTTTTTCAGATAGAAATAGAACCATTAACTATAAATTTTAATTGTTTCCATAGTAAGTTATTCTATATATAGTTAAACACGTGACTCCAAACTTGACCTAGGTACAATGTCTAGCTCGCTGGCAAAGCGTGTTAATTATTGCAAACCCGATGTATTGGAATCACATTGTCCAAGTCAGCAGTGTTTACCACCAACAAACAATTATTGGTCAGGCACAAATGTATCGGTTCGACCAGAGACCATGACATAATGGTCAGGTTAACAGACCAATTCTCCTCATTTATCAAATCCCCCAATCCTCAAATACCTTACACACAAAAGACTGCCAATGCATTTGTAACTTCTTTAATGTTGCGGGTCTCCATGGCCGGCGCTTAATGCTTACCTACCATCAGGTCTGCTCGTTGACCGGCTTTTATGCCATAAAAATATCACAATAATTGAGTTGTAATTTAAAAATCTCCAAAGAGAATACAGGTCAGACTGCCTCGTTGGCCGAGCGGTCGCAAGTGCGACTGCCGGGCAAGGGTTCGATTCCCGGGTCGGGCAAAGTATTACTGGGTTTTAAAAAAATCCTCAGTAGTAGCACGGAGTCTGGAAATATGCCCAGTATATGGCAATAGGCTCACCCCTATTACATGGGACTCATAACATAAATAGTGAAAAGTGGGTGTTACTTTGTGTGCACCTCTGCCTACCCCTTCGGGGATAAAAGGCGTGATGTTATGTAATGTAAGAATACAGGTCATCTTGGACCCGGAGATCCGGTTAAAAGCAGGTGTAGAAACGGGGTGGATTTTAGTCAGTAATAGTCCGACACTCTCTCGCCTCACCCAAGGCGAGAGAAGTCATTTGTGTGAATATCCACCCTTAAAAAAAACTGATCTTGGACGGTTATGACCAAAGGTCACGACTTACGATGCTTGACATCAATAAATCCATATTTATATCCAATATGAGCAAAATACTTGAAACACATAACATCACACCTTTTATCCCTGAAGGGGTAGGCAGAGGTGCATACCACGGAATATTCCGT